GCTTCCAGATCCGTGCTGGGGCACCTGGCTGGCTGGGAGTCAGGGTGCATGTTTCTGCATGTTCCTCAGCTGGGTGTTCAACACCAGGGCCTCTGGCAAGTCTGTGGTGAAACTGGGAGGGCTGCTGGCAGTGGCTATAGTCCCTGTTCAAGAAGGTTGTTGTCACCCTGATTCCTTTTAATCCATTTTTTGAACAAAGCACTGCATAGTCTATGGAAAGGACTAGGACCAAGGCTTCAGCATCTCCTGCTTCCACGTGGCCAAGTGGATCTGGTGGGAGAACAGCACTATGCAGCCACAGTGGTAAGATGAGAAACTGGGAAATGAGCTCAGGTTTACCTGCTCAGAATCCCCGTGAGGATGCCCAGCTCTCAGGATCTGACCTTTCTGAGACTTTCCCCCACTCTGCCTTGGCCATACAGAGCCTCCAGCAGCAGTGATGATGCTGTTCCTGCAGGGAGGGCCCTCAACCCCCACAAAAGACCCTGACAAGTGTGAAGACAAGAGGTTTTTCACCTAGTATCCACTGAATTAGCAGCTCCCCATAACTGAAGGGACCAGTCTCATCCTTCCCTGCCCTGGAGCACAATTCCCACCTACCCTTGCAGTAACTCTGCCATTTGTCTGATGGCAAAAAAGGTCACTTTGACTGGCCAGTAAAGAAGCATTTTTTTATATTTCCTTAGTATCATTTTCCTGACACTACAGTGAACAAAAACAGCTCACTGTGCTAGCAAACAAGTTTGGGAGCAGGCAGAAGATGAGAGGAGGAAGCACATGGCTGGCAGAGACAGGAGAGGGGATGTAGCTCCCCTTTTCAGCAGCACAAGGGGTATAATCAGCTCAACCTGTAATGTCAACCCACAGCCTGACCACTGTGGTTTCTCTGCAGAGAAACCTTTCTTTCTGGTCATCTCCTCCATTCGTGCTGCCTTGCACTTCGCCTTTACTGTCCTGTTCAGTGAATGTAATTCATACCACGTGGGCTTGGACTCTCTCCTTTTGCTCTTGCATGACTGAGTAGCAAAGTCCCTTTGTCCTAAAAAACCCCTTTTCCCCCATCCTGCCCCCAGTTTCCCCAGGCCACTGCACACCAAGCCCCTTTAGCTGAGATGCCAGTCCCCTGTGTGAAACATGCCACCATCATGAATGAGCTGGGATGGAGAGGCTGAGCTGGGATATTTCTGAGTGCAGGGGGCCCTGTTGCCTTCTCACAAGTTCTTATGCTATCAGACATTGCCTGTGTGCTCACCACTGAAACACACCCTCAATAACAGCTGCTGTTGCTGCTAAGTTCTTGCAGGACAAAGGGAATAACAAAAGGTTCTTCCACTGGAGTGGTCTCTTCTTTTTACTTCCCTTCCTTTTTGCTCCAACTTGGAAAGAACGAAGTCAAGGCACTGCCAAAGCAGAGGAAAACAAGGCCAAGCACACACAGATGGTGACTTCACAAATTTAATTTAAAATCATCCTTTATTATTCAAAATATTAAAATTCAAGCAATAATGCCCAAAGGAGCTGCACTGATTAAAGCTCCCTAATGTTTCATGGCCAAATCTTGCTGCTTCCACCAAAGGTCACAGGGACAAGAAGTGAAACCCCTCTGGACTGCAGAGAAAAGTAGAGCTGTACCTGCTGTAGATCACTTAACCAGTTACTTACTGACCCAATCAGCTTCACTTGAAGCAAAGCACCAGCTGTTCCTTACCCAATTAATGATTGCCACAGCAAATTAACATGGCGCTACACCAGGCGTGGATGTGGTCCGCAGAGTCTGGAATGCACAGAGCAATATGCTATTGCAAAAATAATCACAGTAATATCTTTACCGTTAGGTAGCATCCTTCATCTGGAAGGATGCTGAGGTCCCTGAGCACTATGTGGCTCACTTCATGCAACGTGCTCTGCAGTGAGGGGGTGGAGGGCAGGGAGGGAGTGTATAGTTGCTGTTTCAGGGGAAAGTAAAGAGGAGCTGGTCAGGGCAGCTCTACTGTGGCAGAGACAGCATTGACCACACGTCTGGTTCCTGCAGTCCAAACAAATCATTGCTTAATTGGTTGTAAATCTGCTGAACTCGAAGTGTGCCTTCCCCCTGCCTTATGCATCACAGTCCTCTCCAATGCCTCTCCTCCTGGTGTGTGATGTGACATCCTGATGGCACAGGGCTGCACCACAGATCCAGTGGGTGTCACGGCTTGATGTGCTGCCCATTCTCTTCCTGGCTACAGTGGACACAGCAAGCTTCTGGGTGTACAGCTGGTCATCCAGCTGCAGTGAGCATCCTGCAGTGGGAAGGAACCACAAGGTTGGGCTGCAGATGCAGGAAAGTTCACATGGCAAGGTGTTATTCCGTGCTCAGTGCTGCTGGGCCAAGTGCTGCTGGGCCAAGTGCTGCATCTCCGAGTCCTTCCTCGGTTTCTCTACTATGGTAGAGGCCCTTGCCCTGTCTCTGCAGTCATTCTGCATTGTGGGATCCTGCTGCCAGTATGGAAGAATAACCCAGCCACTATCTTCTTCCACCAAGTTTTCAGTCCAGCACCTAAATACTAATTAGTTTTGGCTCCACATAGTTCATGCTTTTTATGACCCTCAGACATTAATCCCCTATAAATTACAGTCCAGACAGATCAATCAGCCTGGAGGGCTTCGGGACACTGGTGTCTAGTGCTGAAGCATTACATTTTTCAATTTTCCTACAATTAGGCCAGCATCAGATATTATTGACAAATAAACCATGCAGTCAAAGCCTTCATCCTGTCACGCTGCTGCAAAGAGGATCCATTTACATCTCAGCCAACTGCAGGATGCCCAGAGGGAGGAGACATGGGAGAGCCATGCCTCAAGCACCAGCAACCCCTCGTACGGTTACAGGAGCCACCCCTTTGTAATTATAGGACTCCCTCATTATAATTACTGTTATTTATATAATTGTGGTGAGTGTTTTCAGTGCTGTCAGCAGTCTGGAAAATGCCCAGCCCCACTACAACCAAGCGTTTCAGGCGTTTCACTGCTAAGAGTCTGGGCTTAAATTATGATGGCCAAGAGCATGGCTGGGCCAGCCCAGGAATAGCAGCCTATGTCCTGGCGACCCGAAAGCTTTATTTGGAAGATTCCTATGCCTTGGGGTTGTAGAGGAGGACATAAGGTTATCCCTGCCTCCTTCTCTCAGGCCACTGCTCTGGGAGCATCACACCCTGCATGGGCTGACATTCCCTGTCACCTTGCTGTCATTGGCTGCAGGAGACACTCCTGGATCATGAGGCACCACGTGGGTCACATGTCCCTGCAAGGAATCCAGTAATAGGCACATTCTCTGTGTCCTTTGTTTTCTCTCTGATCATCTTGTCTAAAAATCTGGAGGAGATGAGGTGTTTAGAGAAAATGAGGGAAGGGGTTGGTACTCAGGAGGTGCTGGTTTTGTACCTGCAGCTGGAAGCTTCACATTTGTTCCTGTGTCAAACACAAATCAAAAGAATGGGTTTAAGCTGTATGTGGGCAAGCAAGTGCTGATGTTTGTGGCTGGCTTCTTTGCATATGAATAGGAAGAAATCCAGGGTATCTCACTTAAGATGCAGAGTCAAATATATATAAATGCAGTAAGGAAAGGAACCTGTTTTACTGGATGACAAACTGCCTATAAATCAGTGTCGTGTCTGCTGTAGAGAAGTAAAAACTTATCAGGGTCTTACAGTTAGTGCTAAAGACACAAGAAGTAATTCCTCTCTGTTGCTATATGGGAGGTGGCTTCAGCTTTTGGGCACACTGTGAAAAACTCAGGAAAACTGAAAAGAGATGAGGCAAATTTAATAAATGCAAGAGAAGTAGAAGTGATGACTGCCATAGAGTGAGCTGGTCTTTTAGGGTGTGCAACAGAAAGAAAACCCTCCAGTCTATGTGCAGCTGATATTCAAGGGATGCCGATCAATAATTTTTTTATTTTGCTTCTTGGTACAGCAAAGGGAACTTGGCCCAATTTTCAGGGAAAATTGATTTAGAAACACTACTAGAAAAAAAGCAAAGTGTAAGGGCACCAAAGCACCACAGGAGGATGTTTATGTAAGGAGTTTACAGGATGGCTTTGAACACACATCCCTCAAGAACATCAGCCTACTTGACCCATTCCAGCGATGCAAGTTTTCCTGTTTCACATGCCCTGCAGACCTTCAGACCAACTTTCTCTCTGGATGGCAGTCACCTATTATGGTACCCCCACATGCAGGAGTAGGAGGTTCATTTTAGGTTTATGAGCAACAGTCGAGATGAACACCGACAGCACGCGAGCACGGAGTGCACCTGGAGCAAAATGTGGGAGCAGCAGAGCCCTCCTGGGGAAGCAGAGGGGCAGGCGCCGACCTCTTCACTCTCGTGGCCAGTGACAGGACGCGAAGAAACGGCATGAAGCTGAGTAAGGGGAGGTTTAGTTTGAGTATCAGGAATAGGTTCTTCACCCAGACGGTGGTTGGGCACTGGAACAGGCTCCCCAGGGAAGTGGTCACAGCACCAAGCCTGGCAGAGTTCAAGTGTTTGGACAATGCTCTCAGGGATTCTTGGGGATGGTCCTGTGCAGGGCCAGGAGCTGGCCTCGATGATCCTGATGGGTCTCTCCCAACTCAGCATATTCTGTGATTTTGTGATTCTCTGATTTGAGGTGCTAACTGCAGAGAGCGGGGGCTGTGACTCGAGAGCCAGCCGTACGCCCCACGGGTAAGGTCTGAGGCTGTGGCTCCTTCCGTCACTCGGTCCGTCCCCCGCTCACCCCTGCCCGTCCCTCACACCGTCACGGCCCCAGAGTACTACATCTCCCGTCAGCCCCCTCTATGACGAGCGACGCATGCGCCAGCCACCTCCCGACGTGCCCACGCCCCCGAGGCTTGCCGGGATTTGTAGTTCCAGTCTGCGGTATGGGCCCTTGCCGACCCCACGGCCGGGGACTCCATTTCCCGTGGGCCTGCGGGGCGGCGCATGCGCCGCGCGGGCAGCGGGGCGCGGTGGGGGGGCGCGGGGCAGCGCAGGTTCCCGTCTGCGCTGGCTGCGGCCTTCACCGAGCGGGGGGGCGGCCCCGGCCCGGCCCCGCGGGACCATGGACCCGGCCGAGGCCGTCCTGCAGGAGAAGGCGCTCAAGTTCATGGTGAGGGGCCGCGGCGGCGGCGGATGTGGGCACCTGTGCGTGTGGAGGGGCTGGGGGGGATGGGCGTGGGGTGGTGGAGGGTGGCGAGATGGAGCGGGGGGCAATGGGGAAGGGGACCCGGGAGGAGGCCGGGCCTCGGGGCTGGGCTGGGCCGGGCCGGGCCGGACCGGGGGGCGCCGGGCTGGCGGGCGGAGGAGGGTGGTGAGCGGGGCCCGGGGTGGGGAGGTGTTCTGCCTGCCGGGGGGGGGGGGGGCTGCGTGCCGGGAGCAGGGTCCCCAAATCCGTGGAAAAGGAGCACTGGGAGGAGGGGGGGGGAGCTCCAGGTGCCACCTGGGAGCGAAAGAAGTGAAACTGGAAAGAGGCAGGACCTTGCAGAGGGGCCCAGAGGCACCGGGAGGGTTTGCGCATGTAATTCTTGTTTTTTTCCTCTTTATCTGTACACCTCAGACTGTCCTTCCATACGGCACACCATCCCTCTGTAATTTTGTTTTTCCTCCCATTTTCTACCGCGAGAGCTGTAAATACTGACACTTAAGCGTTTCACCTGCTGCCGCAGCAGCGTATCAGTTCTAGTGACTGCGAAGAGCACGTACATTGTTTAGATCTGTGAGTTGGCCTCTGGCATGGAAAACAGCCTTGGGGGTACTTGCATCCAAGGTACTCTATAGATGCGGCTAATTTACGTAGATGCGAGGCATTGTGCACTTAAACTGTAGTTTCATTCTCTTTCTTCGTTAGTTGATATTTCTAAGTGTTTTGGCCAGAAATGTAATATTTTAGAAATGAAAACAAACTGCTGCCAACCAAACTGCGTGTAAATTTCACATGCCCCAAACTGTTTTTTCCCTAAGGATATAATTTAAATGACTGGCAACACTTGCTAAAAGTTTGTTTTGAATTAGTGCTTCCAGTGGCACAGAATTAAATTTAGGCTCATCAGGAAGAAGGAATTCTATTAAACCTTCAAAACATATGCCCAAAATGAAATTGAGGAAACACTATTTGCAAATTTTAATTTTTAATTGAGCTTTGAAACCACTTGTTTGGCTTTTGTTTTTTGATCTGGAAGAACTTGTTTCTCCTGAGACTTTTTGACCCTTTTGCTAGTAGTCTCCAAGTTTCTCAGATTTATGGAGTCTCAGCTCAGTGAAGTGGGAAAATGCCATGGACACCTAAATAGACAAGGTAGCAATTAGTAATAATGAATGGTCCTCTTTGGTGCGTGGACGGCCAAAGGAGTGTCCCAGATCCTGCTGCACTTGTGTTTGGCCAAGCTTGGTAATTACAACCTGCCTCTAGATAGTGAGTTTCACATCCCAAAAAGTTTCTTGTGAAACATTGTTGTCTGCTGCCAGACAGGACTGTGTACGTGCTGCCCTCTCTTCTCATATGCTGCCTTTTTTGCCTCCTGTACTGAGGTTCCCTTCCAAGGACTTAGTCGAGGCCTTTCAGGATCATCTGTAAGATCAGGCCTGGAGGCTGAGGGAATCCCCATCCATCTTGCAGCTGGGCTGTGTCCCACTCGAACAATAGAGCAAACAATAGAGCTCCTTGACACTGGGAAGAGGCTGGAGCCTGAGAGAGCTGATCTTATGGGAGATGTGTCTGTTAAGAGCACCAGATAAAAGGAGGAATTACCAAGACCAGGCTGCACTGAGAGCTAAAAGCTGACCTTAGTTCTTCTGTGTTTTATTAGAATGCCTCTTGTATGCAAAATGCTTGTAAAATGTGCAATGAAAGATGTGGCTTTCCTCTGTCCACTCTGAACTTTTTGGGGGTATTTTTGCTTACAGGTTGAGAGGAGAGTGAGAAAAGCTTTGGTTTAACACGTCTCAGGCTTTTGCTTTAGTGCATTTCTGTCTAGGATGTGGCTCTTTAATTATGCTGATGTAGTAAAGTTTTGTCAGACTAGGGGTCTTCTGGTGTTCATGGAGGGGTGGCACAGGTAGGTTGTTTAGATACGTGAAGTATAAGTTGCAAGTATCATCTTGGCCCTCCTAGGAAAAGTCTTCTTGTTTCTGCCTTTTAGCACTCAGGAAGTGCTTGGGCACTGCAGTAATGGCACTGGTGCAGTTATCTGCACAGAGGTAGCTCGTGCATCCTCTCAGCTAATGCTGAATCATTCACCTTGTCCATCCGAGTGTGGGACACGCTTCATGTTCGTCTTCCTTGTTTGGTGGCTCACAGTTTGGATTGAGGCAGGCTTTGCTATTAATTATTGATTTTCTCAGAGCTTCCCAGGCAGCATCGTAGGTAAATACTCAAGTACATTTTGGAGACACGAGGCCTGTTATCAAAAACTGGAGAGATAGTTTTGTTTTTGATGTGTGTTTGGGGTAGGTTTCATTTCATATTGAAAAGCAACCCTGTAGGGGGTAGTATTTTTGTGCTTCTCTAGAAGATAATACTTTTTTCCACTTAAATATGTCAGTACCTAGTTTTTGACATTGACTTTGAGCAGCTCTCTTGAGTCACAAGATATCAGGCAAGATGGACCTGGTGATTTGTTTTTCATTTTAATGTCCAACTCTAATAGAAAAATGTCGTGTGGAAACTTCATCCAGTGCTAATATTATGAATGAAACTATTTTGCTTTAAGGCATCTATATTTAATGCTTTGAAAGGCAGATTGTACTCTGTTGTTTTGCTGTATGCTTATGTCTGTGCAACATTTCGATGGGAGTAGAAGGCAGCTGCCTTCTCAGTGGCTGATACTGGCTTGATTACTTGCCAATGAAGCAGTATTACATTTAACTAATAGCTGCTACCAGATTCCTAGTTATCCATGGTCACTTACAATACGTATAATCTAATAGTTTAAAGTTTAAATCATTTATTTAACTTTGTTTCCTTACTCTACATTTTAATAAGGCCTAATTTATTTCTCATATTAAATTGCTGTGTATTAACACTATGCAATACAAAGCAGCTGCTCACCAGGGAAGATTTTTTGCTGGTGAATGAGTGTTTTCTATCATGTGTTCTACATGTCATCAGGTTGTTTGTTTGTTTGTATTTTTCGAATGAAAGACGGTTCATAGATTAAAAATATGATCTTTTAAATTATGTAGTCCAGTTTTCTGCAGCTACAGCAAGGATTTTACCAGAGTGGAACCTGTCTTAGTTCACTTCAGCCCTTTTTCGTGTTTGTACAATGCTACAGATAGAAGTACACTCTTTATAAAGTACAGTGTGTAAGAGACTGATGCATAAGCTGAACATGCCCATTAACTTAAAAAAATGCACACAAAAGCCCCACCCTAACCCCCTTGCCTTACAGAGCTCTGCTTTTATGCCTTCAAGAAATGGAATTTCCATTGTCATAACTGTTTACAAAAGAACAAGAAATTGAGGTGCTGGATAAGTAACTTTCATGTTTGAATAAGTGTTTGAAACTGTAGATACAGTATTTAAAGTATGAGTGTGATAGGCTCAACTGAGACTTTGATTAAATGTCATATAAAGTAAACTACATAAGCCTGCATAGAATAGTAGATATTTTTTCAAAGTAGCTTCAAATGGTTCTGTTAAGTATACGAATGTTCTGATGATTATCTTTTTAATTAAAATGAGAAATCTTTGTTTAAAGTGGCATTCTTTTTTACGGCCTGTTACAGTCTCTGTAACAATCATTTCTTAAGTCTGAACGTTTTTAATTCCAGGAATCCATTTATATAAAACTATGTTTAGACTTAATTAAGGAACAATTCTTACAAAGCTTGTAAATAGCCAGGAAAAAAGGACAGAAAATAAAACTGACATTCACACTTAACAGAATGATTGTTACAAGGTATGTAATATGCTATAAAAATACAATAAAGCCCTTTTTATAAGAGTTCATATTTTTTGTTCCTCATTTTGAAAGGTATTTAAGAAAAATATCAAAGCTCTATGAAGCGACATCTGTTTTCTTGAATGGACTAGTGACAACTTCAGTTGTATTTAATTAGCAGTGCTTGGAACAGTACCTGACCAGTTTGGGATCCCATGTAGGATGGCTGGAGAGGCAAAAGCTTGATATTTAATGAAGTTTCACTTTCTCAGTTTTTACGAATTAATCAATTTGCAATAATTTATTTAATTTCTTGGCCCGTGAATAGAAAGATGTCAATCCTAGCGTTCTCCATGAGTGTCTTTTTTTCTGTTTTATCCCTAAATTACCATTTTCCTTTTCTTTTTGGATACGATTCTAGGAGGTGCTGATGGACCTTCCACTTTCACAGGAGAAGCAGAACCTTTTGGTTGTCTTTTAAGATACATCTATGCATTGGGTTTTGGGGGTTTTTTGGTCATTGCCAGTTTTTTAAGGGTTTTGTGTGTGTTTTTGTTTTGGCTCGGGTTTTTTTTTAATTAGGGAAAAGTCTGAAGTTGATTAATTTTTATACTCTCATGTTTGTAGGAGTTTCCACACAACTACCAGGTAATACAGTGAAGAATAGTCAGTGTTACTGCAGGCTGAAGGGTAATAAAGTTGGAATTTTTTTTCTGTTTGTGTGTGTATATATATGGAACAGATGGACAAAGGCTTATACTTTGAAAGTCATTCCGTTTGCAGTGAATGATTTATGGTGTCAGAGGGACTGGGATTTTTAAGACCTATGATTTGTTAGCTTTGTTTTAAGAAAGTCTTCTTGGAGAACCTTGCGGTCTTCCTAAGAACGTATTTATGTTGTGGACATTGTGGCAGAGAATCCTGAGTATCCAAAGCAAGGATGTCATGAAAGCAGTGAGAACAACTCTGTGAGCTGGGAGAGCAAGAATGTTGCCTCCTAAATGTGGGCTTGCAAGTCCTGTTTGAATATTAAACGTGTGCTTAGCTGAAATAGCATCCTCTTAGTTGGAAATTTGTTGAGACTAGTGTATTGCAAAGAAAATGTTGATTTATTTTCTTCCATCCCAAACTTTGTGCTGTAGATTTTTCTGCACTTCGTGCAGGCCTCTGGTACTTCAGGAACTTCACCCTCACTTCTCTGGTAATGTTTCATTTCAGCCACTTTGCT